TTTTAATTATTTATTATTTAATTTAAATTAAATTTGAATAAATATTTATATTTTTAGTTGTTGAATATTTCTGATGCGTAGATAATATTATAAATATATATTTAATAATGCTCGTAAATGTATAATATTTTATCTACTTTAGACACAAAATTATTTTACTCAGACATTTTGGTCTCCAACAATCAACATCTGCTCTCAAATGTTTTGTCATTTCCCTTGTTGTTGGGAAGCTCATCTTTATTGTCGTCAGGCTTTCCTTTATGGTTGTTTGTTCATGACTTCATATTGTTCAGTGATGTTTTCGTCATTTGTGGTCTATTATTTCTCTCACCAGATCTTTTCAAGTGAATATCGATTGTGATGAAGTGCGTTGTGATACAGTATGAGTCTTAGAAGCATATAAAATACGCTCTCATGAGAGAGCTAAAAATTAATTGTAAATATTTTTTCAACAAAGAGTTTTTTTCCAACCATAAAAAGTCCATTTTTTTTTGTATATGATGGTTGAAAAAATATTTTCAACAAATGTACAAAGGAAATTTTAAAAAAATTGCTAGATATTTCTTTTTTTAAGTAAAATAGTAGAGAGTGATAATAATTGTAAATATTAAATAAAAAAAAGTTTTTAAATATTTTTAGGCTGAATGTATTTAATGACGTAATGGAACCATCTGGTGCTCGAGGTTCATTTCCTAACATTCATCATAACTAGCTACTAATTAATCAAGAATCTGATATGGACTCAGCCCCACAAAATACATTTCATCTAGACTGATGTAACGATACTTTGTATATCTAGTATGGATAATAAACTACTAATCCAAATTTCTCCAAAGTCTTCTATCGAGCATAGATAACTATCAAAGTTGGAGCTGATACGAGTTAGTTGAGGTTTAACAGGAATTAATTAAAAACTTACAAGCCCTTGGTATCCAAGATATCCAATGGTAGTTGATCACAAAGACCTAGTAGCTATATCTATCATCACTCCATTTGTTTACTTGGGAATATTATATCATTTAAGTAACTCTTGATGTACAAGTTATGGAGATACATGTTGATATATGTGTATGTGTAAAAAGTGGGTATCTTATGGCTGATAGTAAGTTGAAACTTGTGAATGAGGACGGAAGCTGAGGTTGTATTGTTTGATACTGTTAGCATCGCAGTGGACGTTATAGATTGCTGAGAATATTGAAACAGAAGGTTTTCAGACCACTATCGTTCATTCAGGATGTTCATCACCCAGGAGGCGAAATGCATCCGACAACGTTACTGTAGTAATGAAATACAGTAACACAATATCCGCAATATCCAAGAAGGTCTTACGTTACATCCGGTCGCCCGCTTCTAACCAGACCTGGATTAATTTGACGAAGAACTTGAGCATAAACTACCCCAGTATAAGCTTCAGGATCAGTTTCCATGATGAGAAAATAGATTTCACAAAGTTATTTATTTTTTTTTGTTCTGTTGAGAATGATGTTATTATCACCATTATCCTGTATGTCAAAGCCAACCATTTTTTAAAGCTATTCGTTTAATCCCCTTAGCACAATGTATTGGATTTTCTGTTGATCAAATATGGTTTTTATGTTAAATCAGTTGGATAGGTGTATGATGGTGTTATGTTGAGCTTTGTTAGCTTGGATCCAATTCTAAACAAAACATTTCGACAGACATTTTTGTGGGGAACCGGAATGTAGCTCATCAACAATGCTATGAGTATGCAAAAAAATTTGTCCAATTGGAGCAGATTTCAATCAAAAGCTCTTGGAGTTTTAATGCTTCCTGGTTTGTTACAACTGATAATACCCACAAGAATCTTGGAATAAATATTGTCAAAGAAGAGAGAGTATTATTCAGCACGAGATATATCGACAGGTTCAATTACCTCTTGAACAGGCTAGCTCCAATGATGCTGGACAGGAGTGATGAAACACAGGCTCAGGAAGAAATTCAAGCTACTGGACCTACCATCAAGATTTATAAAGTAAAAATCAATAGGTTTCTAGTGTTCTAGAATATAAAACCTCCTAATGTGCATCAATACACCATCACAATTACTTATTGGTAATTCAAAACAGCTTGGCATCACACTTATGGAGTAAAATAAAATTGGAGCAGAGAGTTTGGAAGCTTGATGGAGATACTATTGATAAGAAGTAAATAAAAATTGCGTCATCATATCATTGAAGAAGGAAACATCAAAACATGCACAGAAATTTATTTAACAGAATACTTCTCCAATTCTATCTTCTTCTGCTATGATTGAAGCATTGCAATTTCTTAACGTTTTTATCAATATTGAGAGTTGTCCTGGAATAGAATTTGCATTTGTCCTTTGATCGTCGATATACTTCTTGGCTCGATTTCTATTCATTTCAAAAAATAAAGGCGTACCCGATCACAAGTTCCGATAGCTATGAATATCTTATCTGCATAATATCTTACAAGTGAGGTCTCTATACCTCAGTGTAGAATAGCACACACCAAGAATTGAGACTCAAAAAACGGTTCGTCCAAGCGTCTCACATTCTTTCCCCTTATCCCTTTTCTTTCCACTCCTTTTGCTATCATATGCATGTGTACTCATAGATGTACTAGTTTGTTCAACTCTTGTAGTTTCTGCAACCGTGTGAGCGGAACACAAGGGGTGCACCTAGGAGATTTGTCGCGTATACTTTCTCGTGAATTTACTCTCGAGGAAAATGTATTGCATACCCACAAATGTCCCTGTTCACATATTTTATTTTCTCATGTTATGGAAGAAAAATATTTTATTGAATTTCTTTGAGGAATAAATTAAATATCTTTCTCTTATTTTTTATAAAGATTGATTGAGTAACGATTTGTTAGAAATCAGCTGTTAAGATATTTACATTTATCTGATAAATTATCATACTTTATTTATGATTTTAATAGCATGTAAATGCACTTAAGATATCTATAATTAATTTGATATTTATTGTAGAGAGTTTTTGTTATGTGGAGTGAAGAAAGGAAAACAACAACCGAATACTAATTACAATACTTTTTAAAATTTGTTTCAATGGGTCATTAAATTATTTTAAATTACGTAATATAGTCTGTCGTCTTTGTCTGATTGTTTTTGCTATGCCAGTATTTGTTTTGTATTTTTTTATGAATTTTATCCAGGTCTTGGGCGATGGTGGGATCATCTTCATTGAACAATCAGAAGTTTTGAACGTATTTCTTCGTAATAGAGAATGGTTGTATGGATTTTAAGGAAAATCAACCAAATTTTGGATATATTGACAGGTGTTATAAAGAGTTTATACTGCACTGCAGATTGTAGTGTTTTATTTCAATGCACTTTTTATTTCAAAGCCCATTTTTGACTTCAATTTTGTTGTTTCGTCCATTTTAACGAAGTTAAGGTTAAAAATGGATCTTATGAAACTTGTTTTGAACCTCAGAAATGTATCAATGGCATGCAAACAATGTTGTAAAAATTCATGATGACATTGATGACCAAAATGAGATTTTTAGAGCAATTTAAGACATCAAAGTCTTCAATGAGGTTGATAATGATTCCCAAAATGGAATTAAATTATAGATGATGGAATTAAAGGTTTTGAAGTTGAAAGTGAACTTTAAATTTAGACTTGGATACTTTTTGAGACAACATGCACTGTAAATCCCAGTTTTCCAAAATGCATTATTTTAATGCGGATAAGTGTGTTAAATATGACGTCACCTATTTGACTAACATTGTAGTCACTTTTAACTCAGATCTAAGTGTGTAAAAAGTGACTACAATGTTAGTCAAATAAGTGACGTCATATTTAACACACTTATCCGCATTAAAATAATGCATTTTGGAAACCTGGGATTTACAATGTGGATCTTAAAAAAAAATTGATTCAATGAGACTCTGGAATAGACCAATACTCAGATAATTCTATTTAAAATCATCAGGCACAAAAAAAATGTATTTTTTGAATGAATTATTTGAAGTAATCATCAAAATTGAATATCTAAAAATATTTTCATGTCAATTCCAAAAAATCTTTCATTATGACTACTCAAAATATTGATGTCATTAATTAAAAATAATATTACTTGTTCACAGTGAATTTTTTATAAGTAGCATGTACTTAACTTAAAAATTATATGCATCAACATTAAAAGCTGTCAAATAATGAATTTTTCATCATTTATTTGTAGGATGATTATTAATATTTAACAGCTGAAGATTTATGCTTGTTTCCGTTGAAAGTCGTTTCATCAAGAGAGTAAAAAAAAAAAAAGAAGAAATATTAGTGTCTTGAGTGCATTCCCACCAAGAGACAATTTTAAAAAAGTAGAAAATAATGTCGTTAAATATTTCAAGACGAAACACTTAAAATACTGAAAATCTTGTAGCGATACCGTTATTATCTTAAAAAACTACATAACACCGTTCTCTTTTCTATCAACAGGCAAACTTCTGAGGATTCCCCCGGTGGGGTTTTCTTCTTTGACAAAAACTTTTCTGCTCAACGGAATTTTTCATTAAGTTCCCATTCAAAGAGAAGCTACAGGGGTTCATGTCACGCATGTGTGAATGCTTGGGTCAGGTGCGTGTTTGCCTTGGCGCCACTTTGAACAAGTGAGAGTGAGAAAGAAAGCAAATATTTCAGTTGGCTGTAGATTGTGGAACGAACACAAATTATGACTCCTGTGGGTACAAATCTCAGCACCGCATGTGTGCACCCGTTTCTTGTACCAACGTTGGCTATAAGATGTGACGCCTGCATGGATTTCAAGTATGTAACACACGCATACGAGGTTTCATTTCCCTCTTTCACTTACTCTTCTCGACCGATCCACTGTGTTATGTGTAATATATATACACCGTGGTATAGATGGAGAACATGCTCCCACACTTCTTCGTAGTAGAGTTTATTGTCGGAGAGGCTTCTCTTCCTTTCTTGCCCTCTCTCTCTCTCTTCTTTCTCTCAACACACGCGTTAGTTCTGCTTCAGAATTCAGTTCGAAACGCACGCTCGTGCCTACACGCGTGTTCTTTTCAAAGTCTCTTGATGTGATTTTTTATATAATTAATTTTTTTAATTTGTTTTTATCATGAAAAGTCAAAGTGAAAATTTTATTCTCTAATTGGGATTACATTTGTGGTGTTAAAGTTTTTTTTTGTTCTGTTGGATGTAAATATTGGTTTTTTTTTTATATTTTAAAGTATTTTTGGATACAAATGTCATTTGGTTAATTTTATAATCTTCCAGCTTTGGTGAATTTGATTCCAAGATTAAGGGATCTCGTTTATCAATCACATTCGTTGGAGAGAAATAAATTTATTATGAATAACAAAGATTATGTTGTATCAAGTCGACAATCAGATGAAAATATTTATTTGGGATAAGCCTGGTGATAGGCATTGAATGATAGCTATCATCAGATCATACTTTCAGCACATTCTAATCCATTGAAAAATCAAATTCATTTACTTTGAAAATAAATGTCGAAAATGATTTATGTGTTTTCATACAGTTTATTAAAAGAAAAATAAAATTTTCACAAATAAATCAAAAATTTCGATTGATCTTTTAATTGGTTAAAAGGAAACTTTAAATTTCATTGACGTGGTTTTTGTTAGATGGTAATTTTAAAATTAAAAGATAAAATGTTTGCAAAGTTTGGATGAGTTGAATTTAATAATTGAAGAAAAAAGCTTTAAGAGAAAATGAATATACAAGTGTAATATAACTTGCAACGAACAACTAGTAAATAGATGAGAGAAAAACGAAGGGAAAATGTAACAATCATCCTTTGAGCAAATGCATTTACACTACATTGCTAAACGATGAAAAAAAAAAAATAAAACCAACCGACGAAATTTGCATGCCCGAATTACTTCGGTATAGTTGGAATGCATTGAATTTTCTCCTTCTCTTTCACTCTCTTTTGCTTTGTGATCGACGCATATAATAGTTGTACGGAAACGCATGTCAAAAATGTGTCGGACGTCATATTCACATGATATTCCAGGACCTCATGAGTTAGTTTTCTGTTTTTCTAAAATTCGTTTTCTATCCATTGCGTCAACACTTTTTTGCATTTTTCTATCCATAGTACATTTCAAGTAGTGGACATAAAAAAAAGAATCACAAATAATTTTTAATATTCGAGAAATTTATTATTAAAAAATAATTATGCTTCATCACTAAAAATTTAACTATTGAATAAAATTTAATTAAATTTGTTTTGTGTAATTCAGTTTATTAAATTCATTCAACCGTACTAATAAAACAAACAATTTTTATAAATTGATTAAATAAAATTATTCATTAGATATTAAATTTTTCTTTGATTAACAAAGCGCAATAATTACAATAGATATTAAATTCCAAGTTAAATTGAACTGATGTTAATCTAGTGGTATATCGAGAGGTAAGATCAAAATGGCATCTAACGGTTTCGTGACATCCTCAAGTGAAACATTTATCACACATTTTATGTGTATTTCATTTTTAAAGCTTTCTACATATTTTTTTTTAACTTCTGATAAGTCTATTTTCAAAACACTATTCACTTTCGATGCATCTGCCTACACAAATTTTTTTATCTTTTATCATTATTCAATGACATTCTATTTATTTATTTATTTATTGATTACACGTGACTCGAGCTATTAACAGAATCTATTGACACGATACAATTAGTAAAAAAAGATAATAATATGAATATTTATATGAAGCTTTTGAAGAAGGAAATTCACTACAAATTGAAGCTTTTTAACTTCCTATTAGGAAGTTATTGTAATGGGGTCGCTTTTTTAATCCATAATTTTGTCATATCTTTACATTCTCAGACCTTAGAATATTTAATAATAAATTCATGTACGTACGTACAATTTTCCGTACGTATAATTGTACGTACGTATATGATTCGTTTGTAGTTCATTATTTAATCATTTTTTACGTTTTGAGACATGTAATAACATGTAGAAAAATTTAAAAATAGATGTATGTACGTACGGAAAATTGTACGTACGTATGTCGGGTTTTTTTTTCGATATCTCGAGAACCACCAGGGATATCGACTCGAGACTAATTTCATTTGAAAGATAATACAATAAAGAAGAACTCGAAGGGGTTTAAACAAATTCAGTGTAGCCATTTTTTTTTTATAATAAAAAGACTAAAATAAGACATTTGAAATAGATCTACTTATTGGATGATTAATATGGCTGAAAACTGAGGTCAATACAATATGGTTGTCAATAACTTGACATGACTAAGTAATTATATATTATTTATAAAAATTTCAATTTGTTATAAACAATTAAAAATGGTTTTAATTTATTGGGTTATCTGTCTTACGACTATATTCAATAAATATTGATAAATATTGTTGTAAATAATTGGATGTCATTAAACAATTGTATATTGTTTATAACAATAGTAATTCGTGATAAAAAAAAAAAACCAAAAGATGACAAAATTACGGATTGATTGGAAAGTTTATTGTCAGGATACAAAATGTGTCCAAATCCATTTTTATTATTTCAAAATATATTCATTTTACTGGAGCCAACTAATCCAGTCCAAAAGATTAATGACAATTTGATACTGCAAATAAAATAACAAATCCTGGGATACTTGATCATTAATTGATCAGTTAAATAAATTGCAATAAATAATTTTGGCGATGTACAATAAACCAGAATGATATTAGTGAAAATTTTAAAAGTAAACTTTACACGAGAATTACCACTAAAATAATGAACACATTTGGGTAGAGCACGCGTATACACATTACCCAGTTCGTTTGTTTGCCACGCGCGAGAATTTCGAGATAGAAACGCTGGAGAACACATTTCCAGGGTTTGTTTCACAAACGACACTTCTGAACAAACTGTGCGACTATATTCTACATTCTATTTTACCTCAATGCCTACAACCCACGTACTTTTATCGTACACGAAAATTTCGCCAGTTGCATGAGTGCCTCGTCTCGTTGAAAATTTACACAATCACGCCGCAAAATCGTACTATAATCTTTACCCTCGGATCTCATTTGAATTTGCCATGGTTTCGACACCAACTGAAATCCACTTTCAAACTGGTATACATCCGCAGATTTTAATCTAAATAAACTTTTTATTAGTTAGAAAATAGTTTTTTTTCTCCTTTATATTGTTATTTTGCTTTCTCTCACTTACGTTATTTTATTTTCGATACAAAGACACGAAATTAGGAAAATAAACATGATAAAAAAGTAATAATTTAACCTCTTAATGCCTTTCAAAGCTTTACATCAACTGACTTTAATGATTCTGTTCTTTTAAGCTTCACTTCTCTCCATAATGTTCTCACTTTCATCTTCAAAAACACTAATTAACTTTGGTAATTGTCTGCATTTATATATATACACACACAACCACATTGTAATAAGCTTTTTTTTTTGCTTATTTAAGCTTCTGTCACAAAGATAAAGTCAAGATTGTTGGATGACAAAAAATTGTTCAAAAGTGTGTGTCAACTTTCGTTATTTCGATTAATTAAAAGCTTATATTTTTACTTTAAAACAATTTTCACATCTATTTCATTGATTGATGAGGTTATATTGTGACTTCAAAGCCAATTTATTTTATTGAACTTACAAAAACCTGTTTGATACAGTGCAACAGTTACTTCCTACACACACTCCAAATCCAAGTGTGTAAATACTAAACATTAGAAGTGTTTACTATGTTTAACGCCATAAACGAACTATAGCAGTTTTTTCATAGTGTGTTACAGTAAAGCAGGGTCCACAATAAAAAATTAAACATTACACTTTAGGAATAAAAAATAAACTTTAGTTCAATTCCTCATTCCTACGATTAAAGTTTAATGTACTTATTATGGCTGCTCCTTAGACAAACTATAGATCTTAAGACACCTTGAAGTGTGTAAAAAATGACTGCAAAGTTCTATAGTTTGTGTATAGAAGTTTAGCATTGAACATACTCAAGTGTGTTATTTTAACACACTTTAGATTTACCGTGATGCCATTTACTAAAATGCTATAGTTGGTTTATGGTGTTTGACATTGTAAACACTTGGGTGGTTAGTTATTAAACACTTTAAGTGTTTTGAAGATTTAAGTTTCTCTTGATTTGCAATAAAAACATTAGAATGAACCAATACTCAGATAATTGAGTTTAAAATAATATTCTTTTCCAAATTTTAATTAAAAAAAAAAAAAAATATCACTTGTTCACATTTAATTTTTTTCTCAGAGTAATAACAAAATATCATAAAGTACCGGACATAAATGCTGTTGAATTTTTTGAAGGTTATACATGTGATTTACCTATACCCGCCTATAGAAAATCACACAACATTTACACTGTAAATCTCAGTTCTTCAAAATGCATTATTTTAATGCGGATAAGTGTGTTAAATATGACGTCACCTATTTGACTAACATTGTAATCACTTTTAACTCAGATCTAAGTGTGTAAAAAGTGACTACAATGTTAGTCAAATAGGTGACGTCATATTTAACACACTTATCTGCATCAAAATAATGCATTTTGGAGAACTGAGATTAACAATGTATGTCTGGTACTGTACTTCATTTCTTCATAACATTTGTCCCTCTCATTCTAACATTTTAATTTATATAATTTTACTTATTAATTTAATATTTAATTATTCCTATTTATATGAGGTTTAATTAATTTTTTAAAGACTATTTTTCTACGCCATTTATCCGATTATGTTGCAAATAAATTAATTAGTTAAGTTTCACAATTAACGAGATTTTTCAATTTGTACACGAAAAAATGCATGTTCATATGTATTTTTTTTTTATCCAACGTCTACACGATGAACATTTATTATATCGTCATGGTAAAGAGAGCAAATATCAAAGCGAAAGAAGGGTAGAAAGAGAGGAGACTATGCACACGTTTATTTCTCTTCCAGTTCATTTGTCAGCGACTACCGGGACCTGAAGGTGATTTTTCAGTTGCTACCGTGTCAAAAATGGACGATCATAGCTTGCGCAAGCTCTACGTTATCACCATGGGATTATCATCACTTGTTTCTGTGTGATTGATTACCTAAACTACTCAATGTTTTATTTTTCATTTTCTTCTTCCTTTTCTAGATTTTTTATTCTGCCTCAAGTTGGGCGTGGGGTTAATTCGGAGAAAAAGAAGCATATTTTCAAGAATTTTTTTAAATAATATAGAAAATAATGGTTTATTTATTTAATTTCCACATAAATTATCATTAGAAAATATTAATAAATTATCATCTTACACATCTCCTTGGAATTCTAATCAAATAAGTCAAAGTCTCTGATGATTAGTTCATTATCCAATCGATTTATCCATCAAGGATCACTGAGTGGTCTCTCATTTCTCAATTTATTGCCGAAAAATAATAAAATTTTATTAATCCAAGCCATAAGAGTTAATTGGGCTGTCATTAAATATATGAGGATTTATGGCATGTGGGTTATAATATTTTCCAAGAATTTTTTTATTGAGATAAAAAATATTTTTTTTTTTTTTTAAATAAAATTCTATTGGAAAATTAAATTTTTATGAAACCCAAAAAAAAAAATTTAATTTTGCAACAAATTTATTCACTTCAATGAATTTGAATGAAAAATACTCAAATATTATTTATGTGTGTGCAGGAATGTCAACAAACAAGTGAAGATCACTTTGATGAAAAAATGTATTAAAAAAAGATCAAAGTATAGAGGAAAAAAAAACATTTTTATTCATATAAATAAACGTCAAAAATAGTGTATTCGTCAGTGGTGATTATAAAATTGTTATTGGTGGAATCAATTAAGGTGTCACTTTTATTACGTGAATATGTGATATGTCATATGTATGTGTGTGTGTAGAGCTGCAAAGTGACATATTATTCATCGGAGTAAATTTGGAAGTCCAACCAGGAAGGAAGTGTTTATTAAAATCACGAGGCTTCTAATCCGGGTGTAACGCTCGACGTTTACGTGTCCGGAACGAAAACTATGCGGGACGATGAGGTGGCTAAGAATCGGTGGTCTACCGAGTGGAAGACGAGAATTGGAAGGATGCCAACAAAAGGCCCAAATGTCCATCATTTTTCTTTTCATTTTCTTTGCAAAGACTTCGATATCTGGTTAGTAATTTTATTTTCATCTTCACAGAAGGTATGCTTGGATGCATGAACACATTTGCTATATTTACAGTCTGATTCAATCTACGTATAATTTAATGTCCCATTATTCTAAGAAGGAGAAAATTGGAATATTTTTAATCTACTTTTTTTTCTTTAAATTCTCCATTAGAAAGTCTTTATAATGGAGTCAATTTTTGAAATTCGTCATTTTTTACATTTTTAAGACATTTAAAAGCATCTAGAAAAAGTTAAAAATAGATGTCTGTACGTACGTACAATTTTCCGTACCTAAATTGTACGTACGTATGTCAGGTTTTTTTTTGATATTTTTGTTTATAACTAAAAAAATGTGAAATGAGACATTTGAAAGAAATAAATATCAAAAAAATTGATTATTATAAATAAATGAATGTAATTAAATATTTGTGTATTGTTTATAACAATAAAAATAAAAATTAAGAGATAATATAAATTAAATAAATCTGATTAGAGCTTAATATGGCAACATTAAAGTGCATTTGATTAGATCGAGTTGAACTCACATAATCATGATAAAATGTTGCATCCAACTGAATTAAATTAATTGTCATGAGCCATGGAATTAAATCTTGTTCATTCAAGTCACATATTAATTGAGATATAATCAAATTCGATTAAATTTATCTCATTGTCAACCACAATGAATAAATAATATTGTTTTTCTAATTCCAATAACTCCTGGTAGTATTAAATCCTCGTTAAAGCCTAAACTTGTATTTTAAAGTCTTAACAAGGCCTGCATTAAATAAAAGGAATTCCAATAAATCTTGACACAGATTGAAATACATTGGTAGTCGATAAATTAGACTGACATGTAAGATTTATTCAAACGATTAAATGTAAAACAGAAGAATACAATATTCCGATATTTTTTATTGGAATAAAATTTTATTTATAATTTATGATGTGTCCGTCAGTTTTTATCTATTTCTAGCTTTTAAATGAAGCTGTTCCGATTAAGAACAACAAAAACAATAAACAAGAGAGATGTTTCTAACACGAAAGAAATGTACGAATCACGAAAAGAAAATAAATGTACCTGTAAAGTCGGCAATTACGTGCGGAATTCCGTTTTCGTGCACTCAATTCTGTACTTGTGTTAGCCTGATGTCCACATGTCAAGGTATGTGACGGAGAGACAAATACATGTTGGGGAATAGTGGTAGTATATGTGTTCGATGAAAATAGACGAGAATAGGGTGAAGAACGGGAGAGAAGGAGTAGTGAAGCCCGAGTATATGAATTTAATTTCGCTTTGGGGATACTCAGGACACGTGTATTGTCATTAACATGCTCTTTCTACTACTCCCTCGTCTAGTCTAATCCTTTAATCCTTCTATCGACAAATTTTCGTACTGCAGTAATTAATTCATCCGAAGATATTCCAAATTTTAAAGCTCTTACGTCGTATTTTATCGAAATAAATTTCAATACATGAATAATTGAAAACTTTTTTTTATATTTCCTTCTCTGGACAGTCGAATAATGGACAGGTGAATTTATTTTCATACTAAATTAATAATTTAATTGTAAACGAGATTGATTTTGTTTCATAGAACTAGGTTTTTTTTATGTTTCAAATTTTGAGCTTCAATAAAAGATGAATGGAATTTTTTTTTTATTAATTGACAAGAAAATTAAATTTTAAAAAGTGGTTCGACTACGAATGACCAACTTCGGAGGGGAAAAAAATTTTATATTGTAAAATATTAGATGAAGACAACCGTTATTAAAAGAAGAAAGTTTAGTAAATTGACAGATTCAAATACAGAATTTCAAATATGACGTCCAATCAGATCTAGTCTCAGTCACAAACATAAATAAACAAACCAGTTACGCATTGCTAACAAAAAATTCTGTCATGTGTCAATCCATCTATAGATGGACACACATATATTTTACAAGATTAATCATTTTTTTCATTATTATAATTACTATTTTTCTGTAATCGTAAATATCTAAAATATAACCTATTTGTTAATTTAGCGATTTATTAAATTTATTTAAATTTAAAACCGTAAGAGGGACAGCGGAGTTTTTGTCGGACTACCATGAGTATGGGTACATCTAGGAGAATAGTAATTAAAGTATTGCGATAGCTTAAGTGATAAAGCACCTAACGTGCAAACTTGGGAGATCCAGGTTCGAATCCTGGTCGCAAGAAAAATTCCTTTTTCCGAAAAAACGTGTCAATACGAAACTGTGTAGACTAGGTGGAGCAGGGGGGAGAGGGTATTTAGATACCGTAATGAACAATATCGAATAATTATTAACAATAATCATTTGTTATTAACAATATTTTGTAACTGTCATAATGTCACTAATGTTATTCTCTCAATACTGAAACAAGTTTGGAATTGGATCAATTATTGTTGTTTTTGTTTTTCAAAACTATCTTTTTTTATAAGACATTCTTATCATATTTTTTTTATACAAATGTTCCTAACATGCAATAATAATAATAATATTACTAAAAAAAAGATGTTTGGATTCTGTATTGATGAATAATATAATTTATAAATTGCTAATTTCAGCAAATTTGCTTTTTTTTTTTGGTTTTTCAATTCTGCAAAAAAATGGCTCGGCTAATTTTGCTGAAAACCTAATCAGTTTTAAGTTACGTGATTATAGATTAAATGCAATCAGTTCCACGTCAATGTCATTTTTGTTCTCGAGATAATCAGGACGAAAAATAATCCTGAACGCACATACAGGGACTTTGAAACATGTAGATAAGTCGAAATTCACAAAATCGGATCCATTTTAATAACTGGGTAGTTAAAAATGTAATATTGTTTTTCAAGTCTCTAAAGCAAAATATTACAATTTATTATTTATTCCTGTAAAATTATTCATTCATTGAAAATTGAATGGATATTTTGTAGTGCAAATTTTAAATATTTAATTTTTTTTTTCAATATTTAATTTTTGCATCCTCGTCAAAAAAAAGGGAACCAAACAAAATTTAAATAAAATTCAATATTAATTTCCGAAGGAGATAAAACAAAGATGTCTATTTAAATTTTTGTAATTTATATCAGTTGCCTCTAGGGATTTATCAACTCTGGTGAATACAAAATTCAACTAACACCTGTGCAATCCTTTGAATAGCCTCCGGCAATAAAGCAAAAATTTTTTCGATTTATTTTCATGTCATCTACAACCGAAACGCATCCATAAACATTTCTCTATTGGAATTAGAGATCGTATTTCTTAATTAGAACGAAATTATTAGTTAATTCTAAATTTTAGTTGCATTTCACATAACTATATTTTCCTTTCTTTGTCAGTATTTTATTAATAAATACACAATTTATGTACTCTCTCAATAAAAATCATCTAAAAATTCTTAAACTTGAATTAAAAAAATGATTTCAACTATTATGATTGTTAGCAATTAAAGAAAATTGATATTCTTATAAATAATTCAATAGCATCATGTATTTATTCGTATATTAAAATTTTGATATTTAAATTATTCGGTATGCCTACAGCGACACGTATCAGGTGTGCTGGATTCTGAATTAAATCATCACCTGTATTATTATTAGTCTTTTGCTTTACGCTTTAGGCGATGAAAAGTTTATTTTAATATTAATAAAACAAACGAAACTTTCAGTTGTTAGTCGAAATTTTTAATTATAATATATTGCAGGTTATTTCATAGAAATTATTAACATAGTTTTGACTAATTAATTTTTTTCGGTAACAACAATGTTTTTTTTATTCAATTAACAATTTTCTAAATTGACGAACCATGTCAAGATTGTTAGGAAATATAATTGAATAAATAAATTCAGCTAAAAATATAAATTTGCCAATCGTGGAAGAAGAATATAGTAGAATAGATGATAGAAAAGCTTTTCTGCAATTCTCGCGAGGAGTAAAAGGATCGCGCGAGTCAGTTTGCTCGGCGCCGGCAGTTACTCACGCTTAGGACAATTTAGCTTAATTAATTAACCGGCGTTGTGACGGGGCGTTAATTTATACTCATAGAATGATTCACTGCACTCCTCACTGTACCGTTTTACAACCCTTCTACCTCGTCCTCTTCATGCTTTCTGAAAATTTTTGGCCATTTTTCATATGTCTCTAAATAAATTACCACTATTTTTTTAAATTTTACTCCAACACTACATTTTGAATCTTGAGATTATTCAATTTATATTAGTCTCCTTAGTATTAAAAAAATCCTTAAAAATTTCATGCATAATTCCCTTAATCTTTAATCACTAGCGTAATGAGCGTGGCGCTACCTTTTTTACATCTTCAGGTCTGTTTGATTGGATAATTAATAAAAACATCTGAAAAAATTTCTAGTGATTTTATTAACTTTCAAAAAATCACTAAAATTCGAGTACTCTAGCGATCGGAGATCAATTACAGTGTTGCCAAGTCATTTTTCCATCTGCAATATAATAACTGTTTTACTATGCATTGAATTGCAGTGACTTAGAAATTTTATTGTTGATAATAAAAGGTAAAAAGTTCTTAATTGTTAATTAAGAATAGTTTTTATGTTTTCAAAATGATAATCTGCCACCCATTGACATGGCAACGTCGCACGTGATATAACAAGAGGGCGCAGCGTTCGCCACGCGAGGAAATTAGTTCAAAAAACTACCGCTAGTTGTGGAGGATTAAATAAAAATATAGAGACGATGAATTTACATTGTACTTGAATGTTATTTACTTATTATCAAGATGGTACAAATAGAAAATGACATAATGAGTCATTCTCGTGAAAACATTTACGCAATTATCCTTATTTTCGTTGTCTTAAGCTATACAACTTGACTTTATTATAATGAGCTAATATAAGAAACAGAAACGGGGTATCCTTTTGGAAGGTCGTCGTATAGAGAGTGATTAAGTTAACCCCTTAAAGAAAAGTTTTATTCGCTTTTGCAGCAGGAGCAAGTAACAAAACTACTTGAGACATTTTGTAACTAGTGCACGTA